TTTTCTTGTTCTCCCCGTGGGGGCTCCTACGGGTTTTCCCCCTCCACATTTAGAATCAACATCACGCGTTTAGAGTATTTGCCTGGTATAAAATGTCCACGTTGAGCTATCATTTGTGGCCAGGTCGCTTCTGACAAAGAGTGAATTAGCTGGTAAAATTAAAATGGTAAAGTAGTTTTCAGTTTCATTTATTTGGTATAGCCCTGTGTGCCATTCGGCTTTTGAATCGGGTGCAACCGCAACAAACAAACACAAGTTAAAAGTGTTGTGAGCAAGAATTTTCAGCCCTGCACTTTTACCATTATCCTCATGGCTGCTGTGCAAATGAGACCACTAGATCCGTGGGCCAGATCAAATCCTGTAACAAAGTGCTACTGTGCCTTTTGCTGAGTCACGGAGTGGGGTTCGCTGTAGGAAAAAGTAAGTTAATTGATTTGAGTATAAGCAGTGCATTGTTCGGATGACAAAGTCAGTACTTTAACTTTGACATTCAAATCAAGTGTGCCAGCATATTTTCTTTAAGGCTTAGATTCTAAACCATCCCACCAGAGAAGGTTAAATCGCGCCGAATATAATTAATATAATTACAAGTCATATAATTATATTTATTACTATAATTATATTTAGTCATGTAATTAAAGCCAAAAATCGTGCAACGGCACTAGCAGCTCTCCATTAGATGACATCCACGCATTCATGCAACCGGCCTTCTTCATTAGTGGAGAGGTTTAACACGTCGGCTTTCGCAACCAATATCATCCATAATAGAGGTTTTTTTGTGGTTAGATCGCGTAAATATATAAATGTGTCGTTAAAACCCACCACCAACCGACACAGCCAACTAGTAAGGGTTGACACGTAAACAGAACGTGGCCAAATCGTCACTAGTACAGCACACCGGTGTGTTGGAGAGCCAAGCCACAACATTTACAATCTGAGTACGACGTTTCGCAAGTAATTACAACTAGCTTCATCAGGCGACAGCCAGATTTGTGGAGAAGTCCACCTGTTTCGTTCCTTATGTAGAGGCGTAGATGTGGTGACCACGCTTCTGCGCTCTTGCGCAAAGTGGGGGGGCAAAACGTTGTACTCAGTGAGTGGACTCATCCCTGTTGTATTCAATTCTAAATATTGTTTTTTTTTATCGGCGAGAAGTTGCATTTACCGTCCTCCCCCCACGGGGATGATAACTGAGAGTGTAGTCCCAGGCATAAAAACTAATAAAATATATCAAGCCAGGGAAATTCCTCCACCTCTGCAACACCGTGTTGCCACCATGCATGATTTGTGAAAATAAAAGTTTTTTCTTTTTTGTCTTTGACTCGAGTTTGTAGCCCACAGCAAACTGGCAGTTGACCAACGTCACAGACCAAAGGCACCACCGCAGAAAATTGTATTTTGCCCTTGGCAATGTTAAATAAGTAATGCGAAACTAATTAGTTAATGTATTCTCTGCTATACTGAGACTGGATTAAACGAGACATTTGTAACAATAATTGTGGAATTTTCTGTTGCATTATCGGGATACATATTGGAGGTTTTCTTTTTTTTTAGTTCAACCGATTCTCAATCCACCAATGGATGAAGACCTCTCCACACTATGTTGGTCTTCGTTTTTCTTTAACCATACTTCACCAGGCTGGCCAGTGTAGGTCGGTGAATGTGGGGTCGTGGCAAGACCGGATTCTGATATTGCTTGCTACTGATGTTCACCGTGCCAGGGGAGTTGATTTCCAGTCATTGGGTTCATAGCGCGGCATGCTAACCTCTGTCCCACCACTCTGTACGTATGTATGTAAGTTGAACTTATTTTGCACCGTACGCGGCCAACTGTGCCAATCGGAGGTGCGGGGGAAGGACAACAAACTAAACACAAAATGCGGTTTTTAAGAAAATGCGTTTTCAATCTTAATTTCAAAGGGCATATCTCCAGTCGCTTCCTTAATATCGGAAGGAAGAGCGTTCCAGACGGCCGCAGAAGCGCACCTGAAAGCGCGCGATGCGGTGACCACCGTCTTTGTTCGATGGTAGGCCAAAAAGCCGCTGCTGCGAGGATGAGCGGAGTTCGCGTGATGATGGTTGATGCTCCTGGATGAGCTCAGCGAGGTATTTTGGTTAATCTGTGGCAAGCTCTGCCATCAGGATACATCGTTTAAGGCTGTAATTGTCGGTGTTATTCAGTTCCTTAATTACGTTGGAACTGGATATTGCCAATGTCTAGCCATTTGCCACGGCACAGATCAAGTGGCCTAGCTGCATTGCGTTTCCTCACGGTGAGGTGCACCCACTGAGACAGTGTAAAGTAAAACCTAAGAGCAGATTTATGATGCACTGCAAAAGTGTGCTCGAGACACGTTAGAGCATTGGAATGTAGTGTCACCTGAACCTGAAAACCGGGTTCATGAAGATAACTACAGTGTACTGTAAATACGAGCATTCACCCGGCACATGAGAAACTGTTTAAAAGATTAGGGTACTTTAAAATAGAATGGAAATCAATGAGGAGGAATGGAACTCGAGCAGACAACATTCACGAGCCCTTTCAAGCTGTCAACAAGTTCCCCCCCTTACTTAATTCTTGCATTTTCAGGTGGAATTTGCTTGTTTTTTTTCGTAGCCATAAACCATAGTTCGGTTTCTTTTCATGATCTCTTAGTAACCAAAGAGAAAGGGTAATCTTGCAGCCCTGAAACTGCTCGCTCACACCACTGCTGATGGAAGGAATCCACGAGAGAGAGAGAGAGAGCAGTGTCCGACGTGAATATTGGACGTGGCCCTTTCGTGCAATGAAGTGAAACTAATCCGTACTGATGCGTACAGTATGTGTGTATGTTGAACATCTTCTTGGTTCTTTCGGTAAAGTCACGTAGAAGGAAAATAATAAAATAATAAAAATAAAACATAATAAAATCATTCTCACGATGTTTCGGCCACAACGCAAGCAGCCGTCTTCAGGTGGAGAACAGGTCTTTCGAGAAGGCAGACTCTGACTCGTGACTTTACCGAAAGAACCAAGAAGATGAATCCCTGCAGTCACGAAAGCTTTAAATCGAAATTTATGTTGAACATCTTTTGCACCTTTCGTAACCAACCGTCCTCATCGTGCGGATCCTAATATCCGCAATTTCTCCGTGCGTTTTACGCGTCTTGTTTTTTGCGCTTCTGGGCCAGTTTTGGGTCAAATCCTGTGGATAAATGTGGATAATAAGACTTCACACGGCGATGTAAATTGGGTGCAGGAGCTGGTGTGAAATCTCCATCTCTTCTTATCCACTCTGTCCACTGTATTGTTTGTGCTATGAAGAGGTGCCATTGTCTGAACCGTTGCCTATTATATATTTTTGCATGAACGCCCCGCGGGTATTGATGAATATGATGTTGTTGTAGTTTGTCACTTCATCTAATAGCTGTGATTTTGCGCGAGTTGGATGGATCATTGCTTCATCGCAGGGCCATGAGGATATGCGGATGGTATATAGAGGCCATCATCCAGTAGTAGATAGTTTGTGAGTGACGATGATTATTACAACAGCTGTGCATATATAATAAATGTGCAAAATGCTTATTGATAATGCAGTAAAATTGCACTCGGTTATTTTTTTGGTTGTATTCTAATTGAAAATGTTATATTTCTCAGAAGCCAGACGTTTTCTGCAGTTCACTGTTGCTTTTCACGTGAACGCTTTCACCGATTTCGCTGAAGTTACTGCAGACGCTAACAATTCGCTTACAATTTGCTTATATCCAGATTGGCGCGCACGGCGCTCCGCTAATGGAATCTTTCCAAGCAAAACAATAAACCGGAGTTCACTTGTAGCCTGATGAATACATCTGACAAATGGTCACGAGGAACGGCGTGTTCCCATCGCTTTGTTTTCGCCCCGTGTACCAAATTGTTGGGGTGATGGCATGGTTTAATGGTTGGCGCATCGGACTTTTAAATTACGAGGTTGTCATTTTGGTCTCGGGGCGGCGGTTGAATCAACGGATGATTGAAGATTGAGAAGAAAAATAATTAATCACAATCGTAATAAATCCCCTCCCCAGAGTAAGCACGGATTTAATTAGCTCGGGGATAGGCGGCGTAAACAGGTTGGGGTCTCCCATCCTGGGTGTAAGCGGAGAAGAGGGGGCTGAGCGTTCGGTCAGAAAGAAGTCGGGCCGTCTCAAGCAATAGCCCCGGCATGGGAGAACGCTGTCTTGTTTGTTTCCATGGCCACTTGGAACCGGACTCTCCCTGCCCAGGAATGTTCCCAGGTTTGGCCCGGATGCCAAACCGTCCCAGGCCATTGTTCCCATACTACAAAAAGACGTTTTATTTTACCAGGTGAGGCCCACTGAGCTATACAGCTCTTTCTCAGAAGCGGCCTGGCCAAAAATGATAGTCACGTAAATACAAAATTAAAATTAATAAAAGTAAAAATAAAATAAAAATCACGACGTTTCGGAGGCAACACAAGCTTCCGTCTTCCAAAACGTCGTGATTTTTATTTTATTTTTTATTTAACTTTTATTAATTTAAATTTTTTATCTACGTGACTTTACCGAAAAAACTAAGAATATGAATATAGACACGAATGATAGCTCAGCGAAGTGGCTTATCATGTGGAAATTTAAAGCAGCCAAATAATCTGAACGCGTGATGTCGATTCTAAATGTGGAAGGAAAAACCGGAGGACCCAGAGAAACAATCCATGCAACCACGGGGAGAGAGACATGCAAACTTAGGCGTCAGGGTTGGGATGGCACCCACAACCTTTACCATACCAGGCGAGGTAGTTAACATCTGACCATTGTGTCATGCATCCCGGCCCTGTTACCTTGGTCACGTGCCCGGTCGACGTCTGGTCGTGGACCTGCCTGCCGCTTGAGGCCATCCGTCCCGCTCGATGAACAGCTCTCACATGGGGCCAGGCGGTGGCCCCTCTCCTTGGGAGAGCGCCATACCCTGACCCTAAGACCACCCTCGTGCCCCCCCCCACACCCCCCATCGCACGCAGGAGAACACAGACCTCAAGGAGCTGTGCCTGCACCTGGACGCGGAGAGGGGGCGCGGCGGTGGCGGGGGCGGCGCTCCGGGCAGCCGCAACTCGCTGGACAGCCAGGGCAGCGTGGGCAGCGCTAGCGCAGCGCCGGGCACACGTGACACGGGCGACGGCAGCAGCAGCCCGCCGTTCCCGCAGGCCGCATACGGCGGCGGCGGCGTTGGGATTGGCGGCGGTGGCGGAGGAGTCGGTGGAGGTGGCGGGATGCTGGGGCCGCAGAGCGAGACGGATCGGGGCACCTCGGCACCCAGCCACCACCGCAGCATGCCCATGCTTCTGGGTAAGGCAGAGTGGGGGGGCAGTGATGTGTAAGGGCAATAGGAATAGGAACGGAAAGGTCACTTTACATCGGTCTGGCGGCTCGCGACTCTGCTGCTGCTGCGGTACGCTTAACGAATGCTCGACACGTTCGTCCTTGGCAGTGTTCTAGAGAGGAAGGGTTATTTAAGAGGTGACGTTTCAGGCAATGGCCCTCCTTCATGGCAGAGAGATGAGAGAGACGAGAGAGGTTGACTGCACGGTACACCATGGGGCCTGATAGAATTTTATTTTTCATGTTCCGAAGATGAACGGTCTTAAAATTATGAATGTTATTTTGGCATATCTTCTGAGTGCATACTGACGGACACAGATTTGGGCCTCTGTTGTGGATTGAAATGAGATCTGCAATGTTCAATTCATGATGTTGGTGCATTTAGCCGTATGGTCGGTTGGTTGAAGAGAGCGACGTGGTCATTGCTGCCATTCACAGATTTTTTTAAAATGAGATTTTAGTTTTGTACTGGAGGTGACGTTGTTGGTGAAGTGAGATTTATTTTGTTACGGAACCAACATTAATACAGACAACATATTCTGGACACAATTTATATCTTCAATCTTGATTCAGAAGCAGTTAAGCTGCTTCCGTTCCTTCCCTTAAAACCAATCTCTTCTCCTGAGCCCATCCTGCTACTGCTACTCCCTGACCCCCAGCTTTGACCAGACCTACCTCAACCCCTACCCCAACCCCTATCACTACCCCTATCACTACCCCAACCACTACCCTAACCCCTACCTCAACCCCTATCACTACCCCAACCCCTCCTTAACCACTCCCACCTGTTCTCCTATCACCATAACTACACCACCACCACTTTTAATAACAAGCCCACGCTTTATTTCAAACACTATCGTCTTATCTATCACCTTATGTACAATTTTACGACGTTTTTGTGAAGCGCCTTGGTGCGAGGCTCTACATAAATCTATTATAAGATATAAGACATGCGAGACATTGACGAACTTGATACGTCGTTCCATTCCCGCAAGCGTTGCCTAGACACAGAGTTGGTTTTGCCGAAACTAAATTGGAATCACCAAGCGATTTGGTTGTTCCTGTTGAATAAGAAGGGCCTCATTACGACTGACAAAAATGGCCCATGGCAAATGAATCCACTCAGGGGAAAGTCTTTGGGTGTTCCATTCATGTGAAACGGGTGGGTTTAATATCCCAGAATTAATTTAAATTGAACGGCGAGTGCTGTCAGATATTTGTCTCATTTTTCAGCTTCTGCAAGAATGAAAAGCCCGCATTGTGGGTTAGGCCGCAAGAACAATTGACAAAAATGCCTCTTTTTCCCAAACTCTGCAGGCTTTGTGTGTTTTCATTGCTAATTTTAAACTCACGGATATTCAGCTCTTCATCGGGTGTTCCGATATGTTCAAGTGGGCGGTACTGTTTACCGGTATCAGCTGTCTTTCATTATCTCTGGCTACATCTGGCAAATTTAATCAAGGTTGGGGACATGTTGGCGGGCTTTTCCTTATGGTATCAGCGGCTTCTTTTCGTTTTTTTGGCAACGAACTTCGAGCGTGCGAGGCGTGTCTCCTAACAGACAAAGCAATGGGTGCAGCTTTCCTCTTCGTAATGTAAACAGGCTCCAGTTCAGACCAGGCCAGGAAAGACTGGAACAATCCTGGCCCTCGCTATCGCCCCGGTGTTAATGCATCTCTTGAAGGGAGGGGGGGGGCCTTTTTGTGGTCTCCCCCCCCCGATGAGTCTACGTTAGCACGCCACCTCGCGCTCATGAGATTGGTCGGGCTATGTTCTTGGGTGGCGTGAAGTATTTGGTGGGATGCTGATTATTACATTCGTGCAGACGCTGACAGGCGGATAATTGTGATAAACTAATATTGAGGCTACGCTGCACGTGTGTGTGTGTGCGCGCAAACAGCACTTGTGCCAACAGCCTGTTAAGGCTATACGGGAGGGTCTTTGTATTTTGTGCTTGTGTGGTGTTTTTTTAGTTTACAGAAAATACACTTGTTTTTGCTGCCTTAGGGTCATTCAAATGAGGCTACCGTGTAAATGCAATGCGTCGCTTAACGTTCAAATACATTTTTCAGTATAATTGTTTAAGAAGAACAATTTTGATCAATTTTAGCCACGTAGTACAAAACTGCTCTGCAAAGCTGGTGGATTGAATTCCATTCCCGACGACGGCTAACAGCGTGCTGAGTGATCTCAGAACCGGTCCTGGGTCTCCCCTGCACTGAAATATAGCCACCCCCATGACTTAACGCAGCTTGGAGAGGCCATCCAGCAGTGGATTGACAAATAACTCCACGATCGTTTTTTATTGGGACAGAAACACAGGAACGACTATTTATTGAGTGCTTGCATAATCAACGCCTGTACTGCTGGATCTTCCTGACTTACGTTTTGAGCAACATTTATTCTGAATGATCGAGACATTTCACTGCTAACCAGATACGATCCGTGTCGTCAGTTTCTCTGACATGCATTTTTTTTTTCGAAGCAACAATCTGAATGCCAGATATATACACGCGCGCGCGTGCGTGTGTGTGGACTGTGTGTTGTATACACGAGGCATGCAAGGATTGATCCATTTTGAACGATTCAATTAAAATCATGTTCATTCCTGGTTGCTATTTGATTCAAGATAATATATTTACTCTTTCATTTTTACCCTCTTTTTTTATTGTTTATGATATTTTACGTAACTAATTTGAGGGGGCTTTTTTTTCGACTCCTTTATGCCAAAATATAAAGTTAGTAAATAATTTCCATTTAATAGTAAATAATCAGTTTTCACGTGGATAATTGTATTTGTGCTTCGTGAGGCCACGATAAAAATCTAATCGGCGACAATGACACATCTTCTGTATCTGCTAGGCCTCCAACGATTCGCCTCCCACGCAAATTATTGCACGTTTTTAAATCGTTTAATTTTCATTATTTTAGGTTCCGGTTAGATGGGGTTTTTAAAAATCATTGTACGGCACTATAGCACCTCAATGGTTGTAGGGGCCGCACGAACGAATTGCAACCAACGAAGCCGATTCACCACACATGCACCGTCTTACGCTGGTGTCGTGAGTCTAACGTTACATTTTAATCGATGGTGCACTGTTACATGCCGTGTGGATACACTTTAAGTGTGTCGACTAATGATGTAGCTGTACAAGCAAACTGCAGCACAGGACCTGGAGACCTGGGTTCAACCCCTGGTCACTGCACAATACCAGTGACCTAGTCTCTGATTGTGGCCCAACTCTCTTAGCATCACTCGCCAGCCATCTTGGGAAGTCTCTTGGAATTCTCCCATTTACCATCCCATGATGGTAATTACATCCCACGATGGTAAAGTAAATGTGACACATACGTTGACGGATGAGGTCAGAAGTCCTCGACCTTGGGTCCACCTACTTGGTGTGATGGCCACGTCATTGTCCATCACGGCCTTGGATCCACCGGTCAATGTTGACTCAGTACAAAAAAACGTGAAATTCCTATCAGTTTGAGGTGGATTATAATTCGGAACCCTTGGAGAAATCTTCATCAACCGCTTTACATGACAAGTGTAGTCAAATTGGAAATGTCAGATGATCTTTGGCGGCCAGTTACATTCTTACCACTGTTCGCTGCTACCATGATCACTCGCAGGGCAATCCATGGGGGGGGGGGTGCGGGGGGCTTGGGGCAAACCCCACTGTGTGTGCCCCCCCCGCCCCCAACGCCTTCAAACTAAAGCGGACGTATTTCCATCTGACTCCGTGACGTCGAAACCGCGAGCGAGCCCCTCAAAGCGCAGGGCCCGGGGCGGTGGCCCGGATTCGCCGTGTACCCTAGCAGGGGGTGCGGCTCTGCCTCCCGTGAACTTCAGTTGATTCCTCCAACCGCGCCGAGCACTTCTATCAACCGGACCCGTCGCTTGTTAGCCGCGCTGAGAGAGAGGTCCAGAGGCACAGGTTCGGCTCCCCCTTGTCCTCCCTGATCGGCTTCACCAGGCAGGTCACGACACGCGCGCCCCCCGGCTGCTCGTGCGTCTGCTGTGTTAATTCGGGCCCCAATTAAAGCTTTCGCATCGTTCTCCGAATAATTACGTGGCAGCCTCGCAACCCCCTTTCGTGTTTGTTTACTGTGCACGATAGAATTGCAACGACGAGTGCAGGGTAGCGTAGGCTCGCTCCCGTCATGCCGCCTTCACTGGCGGCCGGAGTCTGCGGTTTTGCCGCTGGCGTGGCACGAGCAGGTTGATGCACGGCTCCCCGGAGGGAACAAAAAGCAATGCACACGCTGAAATATTTGACGAGGGTCGCTCTGTGATGAGGCTGCGGTGAAACTACGTGCAACCCAGTTTGTCAGTGGGTTACATCGGTGGTTCTCAACCTTATTTTGTCACAACCTCACATGATGAATAGGATACCGTTGATCCCAAAGAGATGCTATGATGGTTTGATCAGTATAATTGGATACACCACAGTTAACCAATCAGGAGATTGTGCATGCGGTGAGGTAAAGTGTGGGTACACCCACCTCTGCCAAGATGTCCGGCCGGCATGGACGAGTAGGTAAAGTGGATTACATATTTCACGGAGCCTTCCAACTACTTCTCCACCTCTGTGACAACCTGGTTTGTCCGACTCCTGCAGGTTCACAGCAGAAAATGTATTTTGTCGGGTTGCAAATATTCACATCTACACTACGGCCCCATCAAGCTCTTATTTATTGCCTTAATTGGAGTCGGGACCGCTAGTTTTGAGAACTGTTGCTCTTGGCTAAAGCTCGATGGCTGTGTTTCTGCAGTGCAATATTTTTCACACACCTTGCGTGGAATTCATTGGTTTATTTTTTGCCGAAGGTTTCACAACTGCTCGCAATCCAACCAAGTGTGTGGTGTTTTTCCCAGGTTGAGTGTGCATGTTGAACATCGTTTGTTTCTCTCGGAGCTTTAACCTCGCGCACACAAAATTTCCAGAGGGGACAGCGCTCAACAT